ATGTACATATATATATATATACATTACGCGGGGATGAAGGAACAACCCAGATTTGCCAGCATCTCTGGATCCGTCCAAACTCTCGACTCTAGGCGCTGAGCCCTGAAAACCCCAAGAACCGGACTCCTCAGCCCTACAGCTGCAACCCAAAGCGAAACTAAACCCACCAGAAGCAAAGCAGCGTTTGGTTTGGCGCGAGCCGGTGCAGTACCTGGATTCGGCAGCGAGATTCCCTCACTTTCGCTGGATGATTCTTCGCTCATTGCCAGTCGGTACAGGCACGGGAGGGTGCGGCTTACAAGCCGGAGACCTCTACAGATGCCTCTGCACTGTGGCCCGATAATTCCCGAGAGCTGCTTCAGCCTAACCCCCTATCCACTTCAGGCAAACACCACTTCGAGGATCCCCTACCACTGCTGGCCCTTCATAACCGCTTTTTGTGGACCAGGGTTTGGGGCGCCCCTTAAAACTGAAACAACACTGCTTGCTGCACCAACTCTGCAAGCCTTTATCCGTATTGTCTGAGGCCATTCACATGTAGATTGATTATGTTTGGGGCTTTAAAAGGTGGAATAGGGTTATATACTAGGGTCGCACATAAAGCAGCAACTACAAGCATCGTATCATGTTCCCCAAAACCCTGTTAAACCCTAAATGCGAAACTAAAAAGCCTCAACCCTTATCGCTTTCGTCGGATCCTTTGGGGCTAAGGTGCCGAGAGGAGCCCAATGGAGGGCCGCGATCACAACCATCAGCACCAAGCCCTGGGCGATATAGAGATTCCAAGCAGGTTTTAGAGCTTTACGGCTTGGGAGTTGATGGCTTTATGGCTTAGGTTATAGTTTATATACACATATATATATATATATATATATATACATACATACATATATCGATACATCACAAGTGAAACTTGAATCGAATCCCTACTTGGCTGAACCATAGTCAATGATGTTTCTGGGAGCTTCTTGGAGGGTTTTCGGTTTACGGCATCAAGCAAGGATGGAATCTGGTTAGGGTTTTGAGGTTTAGGGTTAATGGGGTGTTGCAACAAGAGCATGTTAACGGAACTTATTTTAATCTTCAGGCTTGAGGAAGAAAGGGATGTGCGTTACAAGCAAACGTAAATATGAACACGTAACCCTCATCCTAATCCCTATAACCCTAAACCCTAGACCCTAAACCCTAAACCCCTAAACCCCTAAGCCCTAAACCCCTTAAACCCCTAAACCCCTAAACCCTAGAGTTGATTCATGAACCGAGCGAGGCTGTTGTCGCAGCCACATTCGCTAAAAATCAGTGTGTAAAACGCAGAGTATAGGAGTTAGGATCAGGGGGACCCTTGGGGATGTAGACCCTCTGACTTAGGTCCCTGTCTTGAGAGCCTTAGGGGGTCTCCCTGATACTACCTAGGAGTTCCGCAGCATGTAGGAGAAAAAAACAAGGAAGGGCCCTGGTAATCTACCCTGAAGCACTCTTTATGTTACGCCTGTTATGCAATCAGCAAATTCCCCAGAAGCAAAACCCTTAAGGGTCCAAAGGTGTTTAGGATAGTAGTTATGTAGGTGACTAGTTTTGGAGAGTATGTAATAAATAGGCATTTGGACCCCTAGCGAAAGTGGGATCTAGAGTTTCCTGGTTCTGAGGCCCTTTGCCATGAAAAGCCATGCACCCCAAACCCTGAACCCTCATGTCCCAATAACAGCTGAGTCATCCCTCGCTCACGCTGTGCCTCGATTGTCGCTCCCCAGAGAGAGAACAAGAGAGAGTCAAAATCAGAGTCGGGCTGATGTTCAGGATCTTCATAGTCTACAATATTTAGGGTTTAAGGTTTATTCACAGTCTACAATATTTAGGGTTTAAGGTTTCTTCACAGTCCACAGTATTTAGGGTTTAAGGTTTCTTCACAGTCTACAGTATTTAGGGTTTAAGGTTTCTTCACACTCTACAGTATCTAGGGTTTAGGGTTTCTTCACAGTCTACAGTATTTAGGGTTTAAGGTTTCTTCACACTCTACAGTATCTAGGGTTTAGGGTTTCTTCACAGTCTACAGCATTTAGGGTTTAGGGTTTTAGGGGTTTTCACAGTCTACAATATTTACGGTTTCGGGTCTCCTCACAGTCTACAATATTTGGGGTTTATGATTTATAGGGTTTCGGGATAGTAGCTGACGTATTGCAAGCTATGGCGTGTCAGAAAGCTGCTTTACGCGAAGTGCAGCCATGCGGCAAACACAGATAGCGTTGCTCCTGCACGACAGCCGTATGGCTTCTGTCAGCGCCATGTTTGAGAACTTACTGCTTACAGCATGTGACTGCTTTGTCTCGGTCCTGACATTATCTCCCGACCGCCAGCAATTTTCCGATGACTGTACCAAAAGCCGCCGCAATACCGAAACTAGAGCTTCAACAGAAGAACAGTGTTTCAAGTTGTGTGGGATTCTGTCGGGGATCGTCTGAACCACAAGTTATTGCTTAGCTCAGGCTTAGTCGCACAGGAACCCCTTGAAGATAAGGCACCTTTACCGATTTCGGCACTTCAGGTTATACGAGAAACCCCAAAACTAAAGAAAGCACTTGCAGTGCTAAAACATACTCTGGTTAACGGGATCGCAAAAAAAAAGGCCTGAAATGCCACGAGCCAAACTTAAAACCTCCAAGACCCGACACTCCAAACTCCATCTTTCGTCTGCATCGCAGCCCCACTTCTCGCCCAACCGTTCTTCGCTTAGGATACGATAAAGTAGCCCCAACCCAGCAGTACAATGGAGACCAAAGCTGAACCGTCTCGAGACCTCCATGCCCCTGAACCCTAAACCCTGGAAAATAAATCCCTAAACCCTAAACCCTCTCCCCTAAACCCCAAACCCTACGAACATTTCGAACGCCTTGAAGTTGCAGGGCTCTAAGGGGTGATTGATGTTGGGGCCTTGATCATTAGAACAGGGTTTATAAGGTTGAGGGCTTGAGACTTAGGGTGTAGGCTTGAGGTTTAAAGGCTTGAGGGCTTCGGGGAGGGTTTTGAAATGTAGCATAGTCTTATTCCCTTAAGGAACCAGCGGTTTAGGCTCCTATACTAGCCTGTCCTTCAGGGTGTCGGGCGTAAACTTTAAGAACAATCTTTGCGGCAGTATCTCTGAACCCTGAAGCCCTTAAGACTGGCGGTTTCATGAAGCCGGACACCTCAAACCCTGGACCGTGTGATTCACCAAACTCAAGACCCAAAGTCCACAGCCCTACAATCCCAGCACCCTAAACCCTAAACCCTAAACCCTAAACCCTAAACCCTAAACTCTAAACCCTAAACCCTAAACCCTAAACCCTAAGCTTATCTCAGCCCAGTCGCCTGAACTCCAGTAGACTCCAGAACGTGCTGCAGAACGCACGCCGGGGTAAAAGAAGTCGCCCAAAGTCACGATATCGAGGTCTTCCTAAGGAATTCGGTTTTCTGGGGGGGTCCTAACCCCTATAAACCCTAAACCCCTACACGCCCAAATCCTTAACTATTCATTAACCCTAAACCCCCAAATCCTGAACCAGAAACCCTACATCCCCAAATCCTTAAGCCCGAAACCCTAAACCCAAAAATCCTTAAACCCGAAACCCTAAACCCCAAATCCTTAAACCCGAAACCCCAAACCCCAAATCCTTAAACCCGAAACCCCAACCCCCAAATCCTTAAACCCGAACCACCCCCAACCCGTGGGACTGGAATTGTTTGCGTTTAGAGTTTAGGGTTTAGGTGTTTGGTGCTCAGAGCTCGGCGGCATCAGGAATTTTGGTAGCTGTAAGGGGATATGCTCTTAGTTATCCTGAGGAATCATTAGTGTAGGGCCTTAATAGTTAGAATAGGGTTTCGGGGGGCCCACTATGCTATAATCATAATAAGGAACCCCCACAAATAATATTGGTAGTTTCTTTAGGCCCCTATATTAATAATATTGGCAGTTACTTTGGCTCCTATGTTACCAAAACCGACAAGGAAGACGATGCTAAAGTGGCAGGACCAACTGGGTAGTATGCACAGTGAAGAGCCTGACATACAACAAGCGGACGGACCACAACTTGGCGCGTTGGGCCTTACAGGCTGTTGGGGCCTAAGCTCAGGTCCTCCAAGCTAAGTTTACTTTTAGCCTTTTGAAGGACTTTAATAACTAAACTTCAAAATCATTGAGGGAACACTGCAAAGGTAGGTTTTATGGGGTTCTGGTAGGTCTGACGGGCTCCAGTCCTTGACTTTTAAGACTTCAGGGGCCGTCTTCGATCTTTCTAGATACGCGACCTCTTGTTTTCCAAAAAGACGATGCCATACCCATAGGCGGCATAGTAGTTCCTTTTTGGGGTTCATATTTACAATCCTATAAGGTAATCCCAAAAAGGAACTACTATGGGGCCTATGGGTATGCATCTGGACTTATGCCCTGTAGGGTTTTGATCAGGGTTTTCGGCATAAGAGAGTGTCTGGGAGGGGGGTCAAGGTTGGGGGGCTCGATCGTCTAGGATACCGTCTAGTAGTATAAGCGAGATGCTATGATGTGGGGTGCCCGGCCGGAAACCTGGCTGAGAGAAGTAATGCTCGCCACATCCAAGCAAAATCCAGATTGCTTTCGTAACGCAGCGTCTTAAAAATCACGCTGCAGGGATGTTAGTGGGCACGCTTTCAAGCGAAATTCTGGTTGGAGGATCAAAGGAAATAGTAAGTAAGGTCATAGTTAGGGTAGCTACATTTATAACCCTAACAGCTCTAACTGACTAAGTAAGTCCCTCATGCCCCCTGACCCTGTAACTAAGTGGACCCTAAAACTCCTGAAACCTTTGTAGTTATGTGACCCTGAAACTCCAACCTCTGACCCCCAAGCTGAAATCCAAGGACCTCTGACTCGAAACCCGAAGACCCTGTAAACCCTGAACCCCTACACCCCATAAACACCCCGTAACCGTAATCCCTAACAGCGAAATGCTAGCCCACATCGTCGCTGTAGGGTTCAGGGCTTACCTTGACCCCAAAGAACCTACCTTTTTAAGGACTTGTATAAAGAATTCATAATAAGGGAGCCTAAAAAGGTAGGTTCTTTAGGGTCCAGGTAGGGTCCATGTACCCCAAATACCCACTATTAGGGACCATAAGGGCTCTATTAAAAGGCACTTCGCGGGGTGCTGGTAGGGTCCAGGGCTTAGGGTCCCGAGCTTCTGGCCTCCTTAGGGTCCTTTAAGGGTGCCTTTAAGGGGTCCTTTAAGGGTTCCTTTAA